CACCTGCTCCTCAGCTGCTCCTCACCTGTTTAACACCTGCTCCTCATCTGCTCCTCACCTGTCTGACAGTCAGAGGCTCAGGATGGACTTGACGCAGGTGAGTGTGAGACTCAGTTTTTTTCCCTCCTCCATCACTTCACCTCTCCCCCTCCTCACCCTCCAATCTCTCCCCCTCCATCCCCAGCTGATGCTGATGCTCGGCCTCACCCTGCTGCTCTCCCCGGTGTGGAGCTGTAAGATGAACCGGTGCTTCGAGGAGCAGGACCTGGACGAGGCTGCGGAGAAGAAGCTGAGGACGCACTACCCGCGTCCTCTGGACGTGTCCCCTGCAGCGGCGGCGGCGGCGGACTCTCCCGCGTCCTGCCCGGTGGAGCTGTACCAGCAGCGGCCGGTGGAGCTCAGTGACCGGTCCGTGTCGCCCTGGAGATACGTGTGAGTAAAGCTGTCCATCCACCCGCTGATTCATGAAGAAGAAACTTCAGGTTATAAAAAATCTCGTTGGTGCAAAGTCGAATGAGCAAATATGTGGGAATTACCAGATTAATATTTAACAGTGTTGTGGATTTTAAACTTGGGTCATTCAGGAGTTTTCTCTGTGAAAAGCTCGCCGCTGTTCGATTCCCTCTGAGCTTCAGGGGAATTAGTTTAAAATCTCATTTAACAGAAAGATGATGATTCTCCTCCTGCAGCATCAGTGTGATCTCTAACGATCCTTTACTATTTTCTTTATTATTTTAAATGTGAGAACGGATGTGTACATTAATGCATCCAGTGGAATACAAGCTCGTGATGAGTCACACTGGAAAACACTGTTTTAAATTTCATGGTTGATGAAGATGAGGAAGATGAAGATGAGAAACTAAATCAAGTTCAATAAGTCTGAGTCTTATTTGCAAAGCTGACGTCACCGTGATATTAAACCGTGAAAACACTAATTCATAGATAATTAAATTAAAAGTTTAATTTCTTTACAATCATTTGAACTCTTCACGTGGTCACTTGTATCCGGGTAGAAACTCCGCGGGGACGCGCAAAAATACCTGCGTGTGATGGAATTACGCCGCGCAAAAGTCTGACGTCATTCGGCTGAAGGGATGCGTGAGTGCGCGTGCACGCTCACCTGTTGCATTTGGCGTGTCCTGCACATGCACGCGCCACACGCGATCGTGAATGTCTGTCACAGAGCTGCGGTGACGCGCAGGTGTGACCGCGCCCGTAGGGGAAGTCCCGTCTCCATCCATTACGTCACTCACTGCAAAGTGCTGCGTAAACTCTTATCTGTTTATTTATTAACTGTTTATATATT